GGCTGGCGATCGGCCTGAGAAGAAGGTAAAAAAAATAAAAAAAATATAATTAAAAAATAATTAATAATTACAATTTAAAAAAATAAAAAAAATAATTAAAATGAATGGTGAAAGAAAGAAGAAATCATTTTCCCCACTTTTGAAAGTGTTTTTTTTCTATTGATGGAAAATATTTTAAAAAATAATTAAAATGAATGGCAACTCTTGGCTAGCCGCAAAGGTGGTAGGAAAGGTAATTGCGGCCTCGCCGGCTGCTGGCAAAGGCCTTCGGAGCCTTGCTGGCCACGGGTGAGGGCTTAAAGGCACTCACCAAACTGGGCAAGGTCCACCTCGCCCACAATCGGTGGGGCAACGAAGCTGTCGCCCGCAGCCGGTGAGAGTTTCCGGCATAGAGAAAAGCAAAGAAAAATATATTCAGAAAAAAAAAATTCACGTCAGAATGGAAAATTAAGTAAAAAATTCACGTATTATCGGAAATGAAACTTAAATAATCGATTTTACTTCGATGTGACATTTAAGTGTGCAAAAAAAAAATTGCCATATGAAAGTTGTGGTGCTCCAGCCATTCTTATCCTAATTTATTAAAAGTAAGGCAAAGAGGAGGGACCATTTTTTATCTTTATCTCAGATGCCACCGTCCTCAGGCAAACTATATCTACACATATATACACATTTCTGAGAGTGCGGTTGGTCAGACTTGACATGATGGCTCTTCAGCTCTAAGGATCTCTCTCTCACTCTCTCTCTCTGCGGTTGAACTATGGCAAATTCAAGGGTGACCTTTGCCTTGCATGTAGCAGCGTGCATACTACTTGCAGATGTCGCTCGTGCTCAGAACCAGACTCAAGCTACGACTGACCCTTCTGAAGGTACGAACAAACCCTCTTCCTCTCACTGCAAGTTCGTGTGTATTTAATGAGTTTGTTATTCTCAAGAGTGCGGATGATCGTCAGCATCCTTCCTGATAGATTATAGAATCATCTCCTTCCTAAAGTATGATTAAGATCGTGACAAACAGTGATTAGGTGACGGCACTGTCATCTTTCCATTTAACCATGGCAACTAGGTAACCAGTTTACCACGTTTGCTTGAAAATTCTTGCTTAGTCCTCGGTGGGATTTGCTGACAGGAAGCAAATCCCTCAAAGTTGGGTTCTCTACGTATTAAAAAAACAGGGTTAATATTATCAAAAACCCCAAACTATATCACTTGACACATTTACTCAAAACTTTTTTTTGAGACATCAAAAATCCCAAAGTATGCTCATGTGACACCAAAAATCTCAAATTATGCGACTTTGTGACACATTTACCCTAAACATTTTTTCCGTCCAAAAGCGAGTTACTGGTCATCATCTTCGAAGTTATTGTTCATCGTCTTCTCATTCGGCGGAGCTCGTCCGTCGAACGAGTTCGCCGGGTTCATCGCCGGCCCAGTAGGAGTGTCAAAAAAGCCCGCGCCAACCCAACCCGGCCCAGCCCGACCCTACCCTAAAATTTCGAATATTTTGGGATTGGGCCTTAGTCTTCTTTAGGGTAGGGTTTTTAAGTGTGGGTATTGTTAGGATCGGGCCGGATTGGGCTTTTTTGACACCAGTACCCACTTACCCAATACCCACATCAACAAAGATATTTTAACACCTCCCGTCGCTCTTCTCTGCCAAATTCTATGGATAAGAATGGACTCCCAGTCTTCTTCACCTTCTCCCCATTGGAGCTCCGACGATGGCCCCGTTCGAATGCCATGGGACTCGCTTCTGCCATTTAGAGCTGTGCGCGAAGCCCTTGTCTCTTCTATCCATCGCTGCGCGGGGCTTCACGGCCACTGCCGTCGCCGTCGCTTAGGCTCTCGTTTCGGTCCACCTGCACTCGCATTCCAGATCGCAAGTCTCTCCTTCGTCGCTACCCGCCCCCGCGTTAGATTTCTTTGACTGGTCTGAATTGGATGTGATTTTTCTTTTTCTTGGTTCTGCGGAGAATTGCACCCTCCATGGCCACTGCGCTCCTGTCTCTTGCTTGAGAAAGACTGAGCAGGAGGACGATTTATCCACCTCTGGTGAGATTTTGGCGTTGCGGCACCGGCACTGACCCGACCCTACCTGGCCCATCTCTTGAAGTAAATGCTAAATAGGGTCTTGGGTAGGGGCGGGGCGGTTCAAGCGCGACCCTGTATGTTTCTGGGTCAGGTTGGGTATCAGAGAAAGCCCGACTTGACCCGACCCATTGACACCCCTACGGCCCGGTGTAGCTCGACCCGACCACCACCAGCCCCACCGTCGCCATTGCCAACAGCCACACCTTCGCCAGCGGGCTCCTTGGCCCCTCCACGTAGATCACCAGGACGGAAAGCGAGACCTCCTCAACACATCATGAACTCTCTTGCCCAGATCGAGAGACTTTGAACTCCCGCACGATTCCAATAATGCGTCGAAAACAGCATAATCCGCACAAACCCCCTGATCCATATACCCAACAGCTTCTTCCACCTTACCCTCCTGCAACAAACCCATCAGATCAGCTCCCTCCAAACCCCCTCCTGCCGACCCCAAACTCTGCTCCCTCGGCTTGCCACCCGCACGATTCTCCGCCAAATTACGAGCATCCTTCGAAGGAGCTTCGCGGCCCTGTTTGCGAGGTGGGTTTTCGGTCCTGTCCTTGATGGTGGAGCGAGGGCCCGCGCCCTCTCCTACGCGACCACGGCGGTGGTAGATTCTGGGGTTGTCGGCGTTCGGGATGGCGTAGGCACAGAAGGGCCGTAGCCCGGGACTCTTCAGCGGCCGGAGAGGCAGCGTCTTGGGACGGAGATTGACGGGGTTCGGCATCTGTGGGTGTCCGAAGTCCGGTGAGATCCTGGAAGCGGAAGTGTAGAGCGAGGGAGAGACGAGGGAGGCGGCCATTGCTACGCTTCGACGAAGAAACATAAAGCCAGGGTGCCGTCCTGGTGATCTTCGTGGAGGGGCCGAGGAGCCTGCTGGTGAAGGTGTGGCTGCTGGCGATGGCGACGGTGGGGCTGGTGGTGGTCGGGTCGAGCTACACTGGGCCAGCGATGAACCTGGCGAACACGTTCGACGGACGAGCTCCGGCCGAGCAAGAAGACGATGAACAGTAACTCGTGATGATGAACAGTGTAATTTTTTCTTGGAGAAGAGGTGACCAGTGCGATGAACAGTGATTTTGGACGGAAAAAAGAAGTTTGAGGTAAATATATCATAAAGTATACAATTTTGAATTTTTGGCTTCACAAAATAATTTTTGGATAAATGTTTCACAAGTGGCATAGTTTGAGATTTTTTGTGGTATTAACCCTAAAAAAAATAAAGAAAGAAATACATCTTAATGAGATTAAATACCTAAATATAGCTAATGACTGGTACGAAAAGTTATTACTAAATAAAGCTTATTAAAAAATCTATTAAATTTCAAAAAATAGGAAAAAACACACTTGAAGAAACCACGACTCTAATGTTCTTCATTGCGATGGCATAACAATAGTCACACTGGTGTAACTGCACCGATATTTCAATTTTATGACGGTATTGATTCGGTGACACATATCAAATTGTAAGAGATGAGTCATTGGAAGAGCAAAAGAGTTGTGTTTTCCTGAGCAAGCAACGAAACATTGAACTGAAATTCTTTTATTTACACATCCTCAACATGATATTATTAAGCAAAAAGATATTCATGAGATGCCCTTTTAAATGGTGGACATGGCCCCAAAAAAGAAGGAAAAAGATACTGAATGTAATTCATTAACTTATGCATCTACAAACTCTCTTTTATTGGGTTTTCCGTAATAACTAGTAGTGATTATCATTTTATTATTAAGAAAAATACTTAATCATACATTGACTTCTTAATCACGTAAAATGCCATAGGATCAGGTACTATGTAGTTATATGCATATGCTCTTTCACAAATTTTTCTATAATTTCTGCAATTCGATTAGGTTCTAATGCATCTTTTTCCTGCAATATTGGATTCATTAGGCAATAATCTCATCTAGCAATAATACACTATTCATGTTTCGATCATTTTGCTATTTCATATAATGTTTTGTATATTGTATTTTTGCCATTGTTGTTATGCATTGTTGATTTCACCAAGACCTTGAATTAAGGTCCTCAACTCCTAGCACAACTAAACTTTGAATACAAAGAATCAAGAACCATTTAAATGAACGATGATATGTCAATTAATCTTGAAATACAACATTGGGGTGGTTTTTTCCTATTTTTGAAATTTAATAGATCCTTCTAATAAGTAGTAATTTTTTTATACCGACAATTAGCTATATTTGGGTATTTAATTTCATTCAGATATGTATATTTACATAGTAATAATTTTTTCACACCGGTGATTAGCTAAATTTGAATATTTAATTTAATTCATATATATAGATATAGATATAGATATAGATATAGATATAATTAAGAGATATAATCACTGGAAGTTCTAAAACTTATTACAAAAATACAATTGAATCTCTAAAACTTGCAAAAAGTGCAATCAAATCATAAACTTGTCAAACTGGTGCTATCGAGTCCTTCCGATAACTCTATACAACTTGGCTAACGAAAAATGCTGACGAGGCTTTTTAAAATTATTTTCTCTCTCCTACATGGCAATGACATGACTAAACATTAAACATAAAGCTAAAACAAAGTCCTGGTCCAAATCTAATTTTTAATACAAACTTTATTTAAATTAAATTTAAAAATAAGATAAATTTAAATTTAAAATATGGTTGCCTCGCCGTCGCCGCCCCTTGCTGCCGATGGTGGGGTGGCGATGCTTGATTCTCAACCATTTTCTCTCTCTCTCTTTTCTTTAATTTAGCTTATTTTTAAAGTTAATTTAAATAAATTTGTATTAAAAATCAGATTTGGATCAAAACGACGTCGTTTTTAGCCACATCATCGCCACATAGGAGAGAAAAAATAAGAAAAAAAAAACCCGTCAGCATATAACCTGGTGCTACCAATCCTGCAGGCCCCAGCAATTCTGCAGGCCCCCCCAGCAATGCTGGGCCCCCGGCCCCGCGCGGCCCCCGTCCCCCCCAGTGGCACTAGGAAGCCCCCAATTAAGGGCGTTTAATATTGGCGTGATTGTTGGAGTTGCTACTGGAGTTGGAGTGGTCAGCTTGGTTGCCGTTGTCCTGGCGCTCTATGTTGATTGGAGAAGGAAAATGGCACGCATGATTGAAGATCAAGGTAAACCACACAATCATATGCTTCAAATAGCTTCGTCACGATAATTTCCTATCTGTAATCATGTGTGCTAATTATGTTTTTGCATAAAAGATGAACTTTGCGGAGGTAAAAAGAAAGAGAAATCTCCATATCAAAATGCCACTGTTCTTAAGAGCTTTTTAGCTCATTGCTGACTGGTGGTAGGAAGTGGAATTTCCATGTTTTCTGGTTGAAGCTAAATTTCACGAATGCATTTTGATTTTGCTGGGTGACTAATTTAAGCGGCTAATGTATTTCTGAAAAGTCAACTAAGTGACAAGGGTTTTGCGAAATCTTCCAAGAGCGGAATCTTATCTGCATTATTCTGTCTGACAGAGTTCCTCGGCATGGATGCTAGACCTTACACTTTCAGCTACGCGGAACTAAAGGCTGCTACGGATGACTTCAATCCCAATAACAAACTTGGGGAAGGAGGATTCGGCCCTGTTTTTAAGGTTTGTTGTAATTCGTTGGAATTCACAAAAGAGTAGATGTAGATGCAATGATGTCACAATTAAAATGTCGGCAGAATTGAGGTAGGTGCTTGGCTCCTTGCAAAAGTTGATCTTACACTAATGCTTCATCAACCATAGCTGATGTGATCTTAGCTAGTCATGGAAACAACGTCGATGGTTTATCTTTCTGAAAGTGTTTTTTGGAGAAAGAATGGAAAAATAGAAGAGAAACTCATTACTAAAGGAACCGCAATTATGATTTCTGCACGTCTGGCCAAAAAGAAAAAGACTATGGTTTTCGTGTGCTGGTTGACCTAACTTCCAATATTTTCTTCACTTATTTCTTTTTCAATCTTTAGGCAATCATCCTTTGGCTTTGGAGGATGACTGTAATAGATCCTAAATGAAGTCCAGGAAAGAAAGAAATCCAATGAACACCATCCAAATATCCGAGGATAATATAAACTAAATGTTGATAACATGAGGTTCCGAGTAACTAATGAATGGAAAATTTTCTTGGTTATGTTTGCTTGTTCCAGATGGAGTAACATAAATTAGGTTGACCGTCCTTCTTTTGTCATCCATATGCTAATACAGTGTAGTTCTAAAAGATGGATTCTTTGACATTTCTTGATAGTCAGACTTAAGTGGAGCTCCTGGATAGTCTAGGAAAATCAGGATACATTATCATGCTGATCGCATTGTTGGTCTGAAAATGGCTTAAGCGTTTTTTTATGTTGAATTACTGACCATATTACTGACAATAGGGAACACTCGACGATGGGAGAGTGATTGCTGTAAAGCAACTATCTGTATCATCCCACTGGGGAAAGCATCAATTCGTGACAGAGATTGCCACTATATCTGCAGTGCAACACCGCAACCTTGTTAAACTCTATGGATGCTGCATCGGTGCAGATAAGCGGCTTCTTGTTTATGAGTATCTAGAAAACAAAAGTCTTGATCAGGCAATGTTTGGTATGTAACAGAATCTTCACCTCAATAGTGTCTTTTGTCATGTAAATACATATTTAACGCACGAACCATGAAAAAGTTACAAACAAGTGGGCAGGTTCATAATTTGCAAACTAAAGTTAAGAACAATGCAATGTTAAAAACTTTTTCAAATTGCCATATATTTTGGTTAGTAGTGACGTTTGGACTTATGATATAGTGCTTCCACGGTGCAGGACAAAGAAGCTCGAGTCTTGATTGGGCAACACGGTATGATATCTGTCTGGGTATTGCAAGGGGTCTAGCTTATCTTCATGAGGAGTCAAGGCTGAGAATCGTGCATAGGGATGTGAAGGCCAGTAACATTCTGCTGGACTCTGATCTCACACCTAAAATATCAGACTTTGGTTTGGCTAAACTTTATGATGATAAGATGACCCATATAAGCACCCGTGTGGCGGGAACCTTGTAAGCTCTATGTTCTCTCACATGCACACAGAACCATATGCATTAGTACGTTGACGCATACCGTTGCTGAGAATCTAATTCTGCTTTCCCATTGCTGTTGTAGTGGATATCTTGCTCCTGAGTATGCAATGCGTGGCCACCTTACAGAGAAGGCAGATGTGTTTGCATTTGGTGTAGTGGCTCTCGAGGTTGTCAGCGGAAGGCCAAATTCAGACCCTAGCTTGGAAGAAGAAAAAACATATCTCCTTGAATGGGTATGCGCTTGAACATTGTCCCACTACTGCAGTTGTTTTATTCTCCTTGTAATTCTATCTGAGGTTGCCTGAATACATCTTTGTCACTTTTTTTTTCACGCTTCTCAGGCTTGGAACCTGCACGAAACCAACCGTGTTGTTGAGCTGGTTGACTCTAGATTATCAGAGTTCAATGAAGAAGAGGCAAAACGCATGGTTGCAATAGCGCTCTTGTGCACTCAAGCATCGCCAGCACCGAGACCACCAATGTCCCGTGTGGTGGCAATGCTCTCTGGAGATATTGAAGTGCCGACCGTGTCCACGAGGCCAGGCTACTTGCCTGATTGGAGATTCAATGATACCACTAGCTTCTCGGCTGAGACTGCTACTAAGAGCACAGACGAGAGCATTTACAGCTCACCGTTCACTGCAAGCGCTGTTGAAGGTGCAAATCTTTCACAGGAAATTGCTACAACACCCATGCGTGATGAGATAATGGGAGAGGTAGGTGATGAATATGCCTTACTTGGACGGAGCTCTGCTACATCCATGTCAGGCTTCATTGCTTGATTACGCTCACATTTTGTATTGTAGTTAATTACTAATAAATACAGATGAATTTCCTATAAAACGATATTTACTTCATTCTGTATATCTCTCAGAATTATGCATCTATCTCCTTTGGTAGTGCATATGCTTGATTGATTATATTTGGTATTATATCTATCTTATAACCTTAAATAGTTTTCCAATAAAGCCTAATTCTCCAATTCACTTTTCCTTGTTATTCTCAACTTAAAAGATGACTCTCCCTGTCAATCATTTTTGCCATTATGTAAAAATTTGTGGAACAAAGCTGTACAGATTGTGAATTTTTGCTTGAGAATCCTCTGATCCATATCAAATCGCCCAAAAAAGAAAAACAAAAAGAAAGGATCTGGGTAAATGCTTATTCAACTTCTCATATGAATGCATATTACAAAAGCAGAATAGCATATTCTGCATATGCCCAACATCCAATTCCAACGAAATTTGGCAAAGTGTGACCCGTCCAAAAAAAAAAACTAAAGGACACCTTACTAAGACACTGCAGAAATTTCCTAATCGCAAAGTATGACCCTCATCAACCCCAGCACAAGGCACGACACGGCGAAGAAGAACAGAGTCACGAAGTCCCTCGCCGACCACTTCCTCACCGGCTTAGCCTCCACGCGCAGGCTCTTGGCCCTCCGCAGCGCGTCGACCTCCTTCAACAGATCGAACTCGACGCCCTTCTTCTTCAGCTCCTCCACGCACTTCCCCAGCAGCTTGGCGTCCTCCTTCTCCCTCGCCAGCAACTTCTCCAGGTGGGCCTCCACGTCGGTCTTGTACCTGACGGCCCAGGCGATGCCGAGCGAGAGGGCGAGCGAGCACAGCGAGGGCATCCAGGACCGGCGGCACGCGGCGTCCCCCTCGCCCCGGGGGATGGAGAAGAGGAGGAGGAGGGAGAGGGAGTGGAAGAGGAAGAAGGAGATGTGGAGGTGGGTGATGTCGCTGCGGACGGAGTCGATCTGGGTCTCCTTGAGGGAGATGCGGGAGAGTATGAGCTCCTCCTCCTTGAGCCACTGCTTGAGGAGGAGCTTGTGGGTCGGGGTCTGTGCGATCTGGCAGAGCGGGTGCAGCGGCTTCGACTCCATTATCGATTGGTTCGATGCTTGATCCCCCATGGATTCTGCACTAGTATACAGGCACAGAGAGAGAGAGAGAGAGAGAGAGAGAGTAGGAGCGAATTGAGCGAAACGGTCGAGTGGGGCTTTTTAAATCTGCGCAACGGTCGAATTCCTTATTTTAATGGGGAGCGGAGGAAGGGACGAAACGTCGCCGTTTTGGCCCGTGCCGGCTGGCGATTTCAACACGCGAGCCTTCTGGCATCCTGTGATTTTCCAGCGAGATTAACGCCTAAGGAAAACCATTTTCACAAAATCCTATTTATTTTGCGAAATGTAATAAGCCAACAATATCGACATATCCGACTTAATTTCATGTATCTATTATTATTCAATGGGTTTTCCCATCTAAAATTAGATGGTCTCCCATCCATCACTTGATTGTATGGATGTTTGGGGTTAATAATTAGAAACCGTTTTGCTTACACCAAATAAAAAGAAAAGAAATTGCGTATGACAATTCCGTAAAGCATAGAAATCGTAATTTGTCGACTAGATTAATGTTACGTACAATTCGAGTACTTCATTGTAAAAATTGAAAGATGATAAATTCAGTTCCATATCTCCGATTTTTTTTGGCATGTCCAAAAAGTTGAAAATGCGTATAATTCTATAATTATTCAACATGAAAATAAAGAGCGTGCTACGAGTTTTAACATGTACGGTACATCGTCAATTGTGTTAAGGCTGTAATGCTCTATTCGAGAGGGACTGATGATCGGTTCGAAAAATAACAAGAAAATCGTTGACAAGAGACGAGAGGGGAATTTTAAAATTTTCTCTCCTAATTTCTCAAAAGAAAATACTGGGGGGGGGGGTGGGGGTAGGGCGACGGCTGTTCAACCGTACGGTGGATTCTTGTGCAGGACCGAGTCCACGCGAATCGACGGTCGCGATTGCTTCGGGCTCCACACGTGGGGTCCACGCAGCACTGTCTTCCACTTTGGGCGTACTACACAAGAGGCACGTGTGACCCTTCTACCCTGATCTTCCGCATGCAAGGGCAAAGCGTTCTTGCAGCCGCCACCCAGCCAGCCGCAGCCGCCGTTCGCTGTCCGAATTCCAACCTCGAACAGGGTTCCACCAATTCGTGCCCGTCTTTGCATTCTCGACCTCCATGCCCTGCCTCCCCTGAAACCCGTCTCGGGAGCTTCCGGCGACAATCCGCTGCAAATTCGAGGCTTAACCCGCTTTCCAATTTTGCTCGATTGCAGCGCCAAGAAGCCATGAGCTCCACCCGCGTCTCCCTCAGCCAATCGACTCTCCAGTCCTCCAATCTCCGCCGGCGAGGCAACCCCATCTGGGTAAGACCGTCGTCGCTCGTCAAGCTCCCCCGCGGCGCCGGAGTCTCGGCGTGCCTGAACCTGGAGGTGAAGGAGCCTCGAGCGCCTCGGGATGTAGGGTTCGGTGACAAGAGCAAGGAGGTGATGGAGGCGGAAGGTAAGGTCCTCGTGGGCACGTACGCGAGGCCTCCCGTCGTGCTCGCCAGCGGCAGGGGGTGTAAATTGTACGACGTCGAGGGGCGAGAGTACTTGGACCTGAGCTCCGGGATCGCGGTGAATGCGCTCGGGCACGGGGACCCCGATTGGGTGAATGCCGTGGTGGAGCAGGCCAACACCCTGACTCACGTCAGCAACGTGTATTACTCTGTTCCTCAGGTTAACATCTTCTGATGATGTAGCTTTGCGTACATGCAGAATGGTATTGCACTCCATGATGAATCACATCATTTTGCTCGACTTGATTGTGATAAGTATAGTAATTTGCATTCTTAAAAGGTTGATTTTGCCACTGCGCGCGTTCGGGTAGAGGTGCTGCAAAATTTGCGAGCAATTTCGTTTGTTTCACGGATTGATGGAGAATGTTAGTAAGGAGAAACATCAGTCAAATTTGTTGCTGATCAAAATCTCATACTGGTGAAATGGTTGCTAAGTTTGGGATCGGATGCATTGTGCAGGCAATTTAGGCTGTCTGTAGCGTAAAAAGACTTCGCTTGATCATCTGATGATACACTGGGTCCTTTGAGGGATCCTTACTCTTGAGCTAAGAAAGGTTTGCGATTGCTGCAGGTAGAGCTTGCTAAGCGTCTTGTGGCCAGTTCTTTTGCTGACCGTGTGTTTTTCTCAAATTCTGGGACGGAAGCAAATGAAGCAGCCATAAAATTTGCGAGGAAATTTCAGAGACACACACACCCTGATGAAAAAGAGCCAGCCACAGAGTTCATTTCCTTTACCAACTGTTTCCATGGAAGGACAATGGGTGCTCTAGCCTTGACAAGCAAAGAGCACTATCGAACACCTTTCGAACCTGTCATGCCGGGAGTCACTTTTGTGGAGTATGGAAACATAGAGGCCACAAAAGATAAAATTAAGCGTGGGAAGACTGCAGCTGTTTTTGTGGAACCAATCCAGGGTGAAGGGGGCATATACAGCGCGACCAGGGAGTTCTTACAATATCTGCGAAGTGCTTGTGACGATGCCGGTGCTCTTTTGGTTTTTGATGAGGTAAAGCCTTTTCCAGTGAATGTTGAGCCCAGAATCTATAATGTCCCGAAGAATATGCTTGTGAAGATGTCTGTTGGCATTTGTTTCATGTCTTTTGTTCTGCTTTTCTGTGATAAACACGATTCTCAGTTAGACATGTCTTATTTATTATGCTGGTTGCAGCATGAGTTACCGCAAGAAAAACTGAGAGAACGACATAATTATTGGCTCTCTCTCTCTCTCTCTTTGGCCGTGCGTTCGGGCTAAGAAGATTGGGAAGAGCATGAAATGAAATCCTGAAGTCTGAAGATTAAGATTATAGAAGCGTGCTTAACTGGAACAATTGTTGATAGCTAATTTTTGTGTGCCTTTTTTTTTTTCATAATTTGGAGAAACCATTTGATACAACTTTTGGACAAGCATGTAGTCCCTTCAATTCTATACTCATTTTTAATTACATATATACGAGTTATTGCTCTGGGATAGCTTTGGATTCACAATGATCATTTCGCTTTTGCTTCAGCAAGTGATTTTGATTGTTGATCTGTACTCCTCCACTAAATCTGATTTCTCAATTAACATTATCACAGGGGGAAATTCTACACTGTTTACCCCTTTTTTCATCGTTCTACTTCAATTGAAGATGATAGACTTTCAGAATTCATGCTTTGCATAACTTTTGAGCTATTTATTCCTTTACCTTATCCTAGAAAGGTGCATTGTTTATCCGCAGATTCAATGCGGTTTGGGTCGCAGTGGTTACCTCTGGGCCTACGAAGCCTATGGTGTTTGTCCTGACATAATGACGCTTGCTAAGCCTCTTGCTGGTGGGCTTCCCATTGGTGCCGTTCTGGTTACTGAAAAAGTTGCTTCAGCCATGAAATACGGTGATCACGGGAGCACATTTGCAGGTTCACCTCTTGTATGCAAAGCTGCACAAGCTGTCCTAGATAAAATCTCAAAACCCGATTTCTTGGCCAGTGTGAGGAAGAAAGGAGAATATCTCAAGCAAAAGTTAGTGCAGAAACTTGGAGGAAACTCACACGTGAAAGAAGTGCGCGGTCTTGGGCTAATCATTGGGATCGAGCTGGATGTATCTGCCTCGCCACTAGTCGACGCATGTCGAAATTCAGGCCTTTTAGTTCTTACTGCTGGAAAAGGGAACGTTGTGAGGCTTGTACCTCCATTGATTATAACTGAGGAGGAGTTGGACGAGGCAGTTGAGATCTTGTTCAATGCTCTGCCCGCACTTGATGAGAACAGTTCGAATTAGCGGGCCAGTCACTGCAGACTAGAAGAAGCTCGCAGACTTATTTGTTCTGTCATTAGGAAAAGCAGAAATTGTGAATGTCCATCTAGAAAAGCTATTATTGTTGACTTTATCAGTCAAGCACGATGCTCTGAAAATGATGTGGTGAGAAGAATCATTCTAGTGCTTCTCTTTGTCTAAAGACAAGTCAATTATATTCAAATGATCATCCCGCTGCTATCTTGCTTGTCTTTCAGTAACACGTTCATAAAGATGACAGAAAGCCATGTTAGGACTCAGGAAAATTAAATTTTCTCATTGTGTCCTTAGTTAGATTCAATTCCTTAGTCTCGACTCTTGAGATTAGCCAATACCTTCATTAGGTGTTTTGACCCTCGGTGTTGTTATGCGATACCAAGAACTCATTTGCACAAAGGAGTGTTCTTTATTGGATTTCTTTGCATTTGGAAAGGGAACATAATAATGGGATCACATGATTGTGGTTGCATTTGGCTTATCGTTTCCAGACATGAGACTGCACTAAATGATATCCTCGTAGCCTTTGCAAGGCAAAAGACATTGTGGGACATGAGAGAATGCTAAAAGGGAGGGTGGGTCTGTTACATTCCTATGCCACTGCCTCTCCTGTCTCTCTGCAAATGTTCATGAATTCAATTTATGGAAGAACAAAAAAAAGGGTCTTTTGTCCGACAAAGAAGCGAACTTGCTTTGGCCAAAGAGAAAAAGTAGCCCGATGTTTGTGATAACTTCATCATCAACTTTCTCCTAAAAAACGAGACACCTTTACATTCCCGCTTTCTTGACGATTGAAAGTAGAATCGGACCTTTTCGAACATGATGTCCATAATCTCGAAAATATGATGTCTTCCGTGTTTCTTTTTGGCAACGTATGCGATTTGTGTCCGAAGTCGGGGACTTGGCATCAACATAAGTTGGAAAAAAATGATTCTTTTATGCAACCCCACCAATGATTTGGCTCCAAACCTCGCAAATTGCGCTGTGTCATCATCCTCATATTCCAAGTCCCATAGGCATAACCTAAAAATCACAGCCACACTCCCCGCATCTTCTCCTTCTCCCCTCCCTCCCTTCCCTCCCACGAACGTCCTCAGATTCCTCCTCCATTCACGCGGATTTCCTGATCGGCTCCAACGAATCCGATCCGATCCCTTCCTCCGACTACTGCTCTCGTTTGCACCTCCGGATTCCGCGATTTCTCGAGACCTGTGCGATCCGGCGAGGTAAGTCCGGAAGGGCCATATGGCGTCTTCGGGGACGTTGAGCTTGATCGAGCGAGCCCACCAGATGTATCGCGACGTTCGGTACGAGGTGGCCCTCGGCTTCTACACGGAGGCCCTCGCCATGGCCAAGACGAAGCCCCAGAGGATCGCTCTGCACAGCAACAGAGCCGCTTGCTATCTCAAGCTGCACGATTTCAAGAAGGTCCGCGTCCTCTTGTCTCCTCTCCCTTCTGCCTTCCTTCGTTTTCCCTCCGTCCTGATCGAATCATCTCTGCCAGCACAGAAAGTTGTTCCCGTTGTTGTTTGTGTGGATATATATATTTGAGGTCCTCTTCTTTTTCCGGGAACCTTGCTAAGGGACGAATGGGATCTGGTATTTCGTGTTTTGAGTGCTACATGAATTGTGCGAGTGAATACAATCTTGCTTATTAGTGATGGAAGCTTGCTGGTGATTCCAAACTGTCTTGGTATTTACTATTGATTCCAAACGAGTCCAGTGCACTCATGGTGATTCCTGATCAGCATTAGGATTTAGGATTATGACCTCTCTCGTGATTTACTGCTGAGGATGTAGAGCTCCGAGAGCGTGAGTGATTCCGGGAAGACGGATACCCAGTTGATGCAGTAGTCAATTACGTATTTTGACTCCCGGGAATGTTTCATATCAGGATGGATCATCAATTCTGGTTCTTTCGAACAAATATTGTAAACAGCTCTCTTCGAATGAGCTTGTTGTGCTTCTCTCCCCATCTGAAATGCTCTAGTCCAGTACGAATATCGACAATCTGGACCCTTTTGAGATTGAGAATACGTGTCTACTCAAGTGCTTACATAGTTACTAACAAAACAACCAGTCACTTGCGCATTTGAAAAAATTAACACGACCTCTTGAAAATTACAATCATATCTGGTTCATCCAGCTCAAGGGTTTTCAGAATTTCGCATTTGACAACGTGATCCAAGATATTTGGTTTTTATTCAATGTTACTATTGCTAATAATATGATTGGAGATATTTGGATTTTTATAGCTATCTGGAGCTGGTGCTGAAAATCTCAGTGCTGATAAAGGATATTTTTCTCCCATAGTATACGTGATCTTGTTTTTTCTGCAACTAATGAAGGAGAAACAAGACCACGATACCTGGTTCTGTGTATATACACTTACTTGGTTCTTCGAGCTGGTCGATGTACTACAAGCAGCATGGCTGCAAAGCTTTGATTTTAGAATGTTGTTTCATATTGTCTCGATTCTTTCCTGCTGTCACTTACATAGATACTGTTGGCTTTCTCTTTTGTCTTTTGGCTTTTCAGAATACTTGACATTAGTTTCATTTTTAGGCAGCTGAAGAGTGTACTTCTGTGCTTGAGCTTGATCACAAACATACAGGAGCACTGATGCTACGGGCGCAGACCCTGGTTACCCTGAAGGAGTATAACTCGGCGCTCTTTGATGTGAACAGACTCATTGAGTTGGATCCTTCATCGGAGGTGTACAGGAATCTTGAATCTCGTTTGAGGACCCAACTGGTAGACATATACTTTCTGTTTCTTGCTCTCGGTAGTGTTAGTGTTTTTATTTGTTTGGAGTTGTCGGGATTGACACAGTGTCTAGATAGGGTGATAATCCATTAGGTAAGCACAATTCCACGCTCTTTTCCCTCTGTGGAGGATGCGAAAGCCTAGGTTTGCACAGTTATCTCTATTTGTCATCAGTGAAGATCCACCTGTTTGCTTGCAACTTTGAGTATACATATCATGTGAGCCATTTCTTTTATCCTAATAGTCGCTGTCAGTTTAATGTCATCTGCCTTTTGTCTCTGAAAAATGTTTTCTACCTCCTGTTTTAAGGAAAGTCATTGGCTCCAATACCTGAATCTGAGGCAGAGCTAGAAGAAGATGAAGAAGAAGGAGAGAATGAATCTGATATCAAAGGAGATGAAGCAGAAATATGTCAAGATGTAGGACTTAATGCAGCTGGCTCAGCTCAAGGAACAGATCAGGATAAAGAGTTTGACATGACAAATCTTGCTCAGTCTGTCTCTAGTGAAGTACAGCCTGAGAAGGAATCATATGAACAAAGAGATGATGGGAAGGCTGATCGCATCGAGACTATTCCCACCACAGAAGTCAATGTCCCTAATGCCCAATGCACTAAGGATGATTCTAAAGGATGGCAAGCGATCCCTAAACCAAAGGGGCACTCAACGCTGGACTATGCTCGTTGGGACAGAGTTGAAGATAATTCTAGTGAAGATGATGATGACGACGATGATGACGAGTGTCGGTATCGCTTCTGTGTAAGAACAGTCGGTGTCCGTCCGGTGAAATAATTTCCCGTTTACTCGAGACATATCTGATCCCTACATTTTTCGTGGGAAAAAGGTTATTAAGTCAAAGCTGTGCAGATCAGGTGACTTTGTTCACAAAAATAGAGCTTTGCCTGATTTCAGTCCCTGTGAGTGATGTGCACAATAAACATGATGATTCCCATGGTGTACAAAATGGAGATCGATTCTTTTGCACTGGGTTCTCAGATCTGTTTTAATGGTCTAGGCAGTACAGCTTTTGTACAGGAAATAAGGTGGGGTTATTGTGGTGTGATTGAGATGCTGCATGGTGTTGACTTTGAACTTCTTTATTCATTTGATCAAAAGCTCCTGAAGTGCTTCTTTTGTCATGTAATTAAGTGCCTATATTCATGCACAAAGTATAGCAACTTTCTAGTTCAGATTCTTGGCAACGCAGAAAGCGGAACAACCTCACTTTTGGGGTTTTGACTGTTGGATAGGCTCTTCTTTGGCCAAAGACTACTAGATAAGGATCATATTCTGATGCATTGGAAGATAGGAAGGACTATTGATCAACTTGAACTAATTAATAGAATGTGTCTCAATTCCATTGATTGTATAGTGATTGCAATTTAAGTGTCGCTCTGCAACCGGGAATCTTCAATTTTGCATCGTTTCAATTGTACGGCATGTATTTCATTGTTCATGTTGCCCTTGTCAATCGAAAGAAAATGTTTATACGATCATCCTCACTTTCACCGCAGCACATCTCATTCCTTTTCTCAGGCCAACTCTTTTCGTTCTTCTAATAATCCGAGGTAATCAAACTCGGTCCAATTCTCGCGTTCATTAAAGGGAGGCAACCGAGGCATCAATAGAAGCCTATTTACACCGCAAATAGCAGCTTTGATACCATTAAACTCCAATTCTAAAACGATGCAAGGGACCCCTGCCCTTTCCTTTGCTTTCTGGTCACTAGACCAAAATCAGGAAATCCCCAGCTTGTTTCAAGTAACCCAGGTCTTCCTTAAGCTACTTTCATCTTCAAGTCTTAGGCTACCGAAATGTAAGTTTTGTTCTCCACGACATCGCGGAACACTTTAATCATTAAAAATACGAATAAAGCTACAACTATCAAGATTCGCACGCCAAAAGAGTTTTACTAAAATTATGCGATGAATTTCTTTTGTCGGGGTGTTTAGTGGGTCTACTAATTTAAACAACCGCTTACCGTTTATCATTACATCTAAACAAATCCATTTACTAGTCAAGTCCCGGTATTTTCCGGCGATCGAACGAAAAAGAAATTCATAAATTTTCGAAGAACAAAAATGTCAAAATTATCGGGGCCTGCCCGTCTTTTTCCCTGAAAAGACATCCCATTTTGGAGGGAAAAATCCGCAACTTTCAAAACGCAGAAAAGGACAGGACAGGGGGACATCATCCAAACCCACCCGCCTTTACATGACGCCATTCTATTTCTCACCAAACCCTAACACCCCCTCCCCTCCTCTCTCTCTCTCTCTCTCATCGATTTCTCCGAAGTAAGTCCCTGTCTCCTTCATCCGCTCCGCAACCTCCAACACCGAGCAACGCCATCGACGCCCTTCCCTTCGCTTCCCTTCTCCTCTTCGCCAATCGCAATCGCGTTCTTGGTTTGGTGTTGGTTGTGGAGAGGGGGGGCGTGGAATCGGAATCGGGCAAATGTCGCAGAGCGGCTTAGGCAATGGTGGCCCCGACTTCGAGCTCGCGGAGGAGATACTGGCGGTGATGCCCACCGACCCTTACGACCAGCTCGATCTGGCCCGCAAGATCACCTCCATGGCCATCGCCTCCCGCGTCTCCAAGCTCGAGTCCGACGTCGCCCGCTCCAAGCAGAAGCTCCACGACAAGGACCGCATCATCTTCGACCTCGAGGAGAAGGTCGTCCACCTCGACCGCTCCTACCAGGACGCCGACTCCCGCCTCAAGATCGTCCTCGATGAGAATGTAGGTTGTGGTTTCTTTGTTTTTTTGGTTTTTCAGTTTCATTTGCCCCTTTTTCTACCGATGGAAAGAACGATTGTTGCTCCAGCTTCTTCTCCTTCTTCTTCTTTTCCCCGTTTCGTTGATGTCGAGTTTACGTGCTCAAGCTTGTTTATTTACGTCGGAATTGACAAATTGGATTGTCGGGAACTTAATTGTGTCCGAGAATTATGAAGTCATCTATTTAGGGGTACCGCTGAGTTATACGGTTTGTGTGCGCACGAGATTGTATGAAAAGCTTTCACCTGCTGTGAAAATTGCGGCTCTTTGATATCCCGTTGAAGCAATTGGAGCTGACGCTTCTGTTTGTCTTGTCTGTTGCTGAAGATGAGGCTCTCCAAAGAACGGGATTCCTTGTCTGTGACTGTCAAGAAGCTCAGTCGTGATCTGGCAAAGGTAATATCGCTTTTTACTTCCGAGTGAGCTCCAAAGTTAATGCTTTTCAGCTTGTTTCCAATTAAAGGCTTGGAAAAGATTAATCTGTTTTGGGTGCATTTGTTTGGCGGACAATCGATGGTTTAGCGCATCACTTACGAAAATGAATTGACAAATGCTATCATCATTGTCAACGAAAATATTTAGGCATAAATTGTTGATGATAGTAAAAATGTTTTCCCTTTCGCTAATTTTTGTAAGTGATAGAAGCGAAGATTTTTTAGGATGAGTTTTCCAAATCGTTGAATTTTTGGAGAATCAAACACACCAGTTTCCCTGTTATATGTTTTTTCCAGCTAGAAATGCAGTCATCGAGTAGGATTATTATTTTCACAGTAAAGTCAGTCTGTGCAGCCATTTACACTATACTCAATGTCTGTCATGGATATTCCTTAAGTTGAAATATCTTCGCTGTTCTTGATGAGTTTGCCCCTTGCCATCAGGCACGTTCTGTTTCTTAATTGCTGCTGCTAACAATCAAAAGTGCCGAAACCTGCCCGTTATGTGTGTTTCTATTATCACAAATTTTTTTTATATTGATGTACATGTCCAATTGACAGCTAGAAACTTTTAAAAGACAACTGATGCAGTCCCTGAATGAAGACAATGCATCGGTAAGATTCCGATATTCAGCTTCCATTTATATTGTCCGTGGTTTTCATCACTTTTTTCTGGTGTGAAATCTTTCGTGCTTGTGATTTTCTTCTCTTATAACTTCAATTTTATTGATGGAGATTTAACTTTTTACAGCCTGCCGAAACCGTTGATATTGGGACCTGTGATCGGTCAAATATAAACTCCTATCCTTCCAAGGGTATGAGAAACATTCTTCGAGGAAGCTTGTCATTGTATAAATGAAAGGCTGTTCATGTTAATCAAAGTTTTGTCCATCGATTATCATGACCAAGTTCTTTTGTTTTCCTGCATTTACCCACTATTTTGGAATTGACTCACAATGCCTGACTTGTAGATGTAGACGCAAATGGCTACAGTGGCTCTGCTAACATTGGCAACAACGTGGATGAAGGTATTTAATTGACTATTGCGTGAAAGAACAATCTGACTATTTCAAGGCTTTAAAGTACTAGTAGATAATGAGGGAAGCACTTTCATTTAAGCATTCTCTAGCTGTTTCTGTTTTTCTATAGTTTAGTCATTTGTTTCTTTTTGCTAGATATCATGTGGTTAACTTTGTCGCAGGCATATGTCTTAATGAATGATCAAGGACTTCAAGGCATTATAAGCCATTTGTTAAATTTGACTAACATTATGGCAAATAGAATGCATTGTTACACGAGTTCGTTAAATCTGAGTACTTCAAATACTTGGTCATGAACATTGATTTTAATATGGCACTGTAGCTGCATATGTTGGATCTTGTTTGGGGTGGCTTATACTGTTTACTTTGTGATTTTAGTTCTAAAGTTGAATGTAAATTTAAACTTTTTGGAACTCTTCATTGTAGCTTACACTCTAGAAATAGCGAAGGCATAGGCAAAGCATGTAATAATTCTGCTCTGAACACTTCAAAGTGTAATTCTTCTTTTATGTTTATATTTCTCTATTGAAGCTAAAAGCACAGGCTGAATCTCAGCTACAGTTTATTTTTCTTCTGGTTTCTGCATATATATTTTTATCGGTCGGCTTTTTGATGGCAAACAATCAATTGCATTAGAAGGTATAAGCCAAAGACATCAGGTGGAGGTGGCAGGCATGTAATTTGCTTGAATTGTGATGAAAATTAGGAAATGAACCGAAAACTATGAGCTGGGAGGCAGAACCAAGGGGCTAAAATGCAACCTAATCGCCACTTTCAAAATCGGTCCTCAATCATTTGAAAATATCAATGAGAACAACGTGGGTTCCCCTACTATTTTACATACTGTTTAGAGTTCAATGAGAGGGTGGGGTGGTGTACTCTAGGTGCACAAATTTAAGGTGGTGGATATCAAAGCATGCGAAGCATATAATTGGGGTGTGCATGCTCTCGCTTTACATGTTCTTTCTTCTTTTTGAGATGTCTTAACTTTGTTTGAGACCGACTGGAATTTTCTAAATGAAGTGTCAATTGAATGCGGTTGGCATACTGAAGATTGCTATCACGCCATGTTATCCACCTCTACTTTATTAAAGTAGAAAAAAACATTTTTAAGCAGTTCTTTGATTTCTTCACAGCTTCTTGGCATGCTACGCAAAGATTTTCAATAACTCCATATATCACACCGAAACTTACTCCAACCGGGACTCCAAAAATTATTTCTAAAAGTGGCTCTCCTAGAGGATATTCTGCTGCTGGATCACCACAGAAAACTTCAGGTGCAACAACTCCTACAAAAACCCAGTATGCACTCTCTATGTGGTACCCATCAAGTCAGCAGTCATCAGCTGCAAACTCGCCTCCTCGTGGACGTTCTTTGCCAGGTTTGTAACGAAGAGTGATTGCTATTCCATTTTAAAACTGTTTGTTTTCATATATTTGAACTTTTGATCTGCTTGTTGACTGTGTTTGTCTTTTTTTATTGAGCCATATTCTCTTTCCAACACTTTGATGGTGTTTTGTCTCTTGTATAAGCCAACACCGGTGTAGATTATGCTAGCTATAGAATATCGTGTTCCTTTGATGGACAACTGAGCGCACCTTCCTTTCTTTTTTCCTGTAAAAATTACAGTAGGGCGCACTCCTCGAATTGATGGAAAAGAATTTTTTCGTCAAGCCAGGTACATTTGCACCACCTCCATTGCAATTTTGATTTGAGTGAGAGACCTATAGTATTGGGACATTTTTGATGAGGCTATGCTCTGTTTGGTATTGGGTTAATGCAGGACTCGTCTATCATATGAGCAATTCAGTGCTTTTTTGGCAAACATTAAGGAGCTTAATGCTCAAAAGCAAACTCGAGAGGTAACGTTCTTAGAGAAAACATTCTCTTTAATCGTTGAAATTGGCTTGCGTGCTTTTGGATTATTATGAGCTGATGTGGTTTATACTCATCATTCCAGGAAACTTTGAGGAAAGCAGAGGAAATATTTGGGACTGACAACAAAGATCTCTATTTATCGTTCCAGGGATTGCTTAACCGTAATGTTAACTAGGTGATGAGAAAATCTCTACTGGACATAATAAAAGGTACTTTTGCTTCTCTAACTAACTGCAGCCAAGTTCACTCCAGCCCTGTCAAATTTAGTCTTTTACATGTGTGGTGGACTAGCCATGAACACAACTTTCGAGGAATTTAATTTTAAGTTATATTTGATGCAAATTGGAATTCCAAATTGATGTCATATATATCGTGTTACCAACACATTTAATGAATACATACACGATAGCACTCTGCGAAGCATATAAAATCTTCCTTAGCATTGCTGCCTCTGTCTTTCCTAATTCCCGTGGGTGCTGTTGCCCCATCTTTTCAGTAAGTTTTTGACTGACCTAATGTGAGGTGTTTTTTCTGTTAGCAAAAAATTCCGTCATTCCATACAGTGATTTGATGTTGGATTTTATTTTAGCATAAGCTGCTTTTGGTGTGTAATCCATCTTTTTCCGAAGTTTGTTTGTTGATGGGAACGATTGAATTATCAATTCCCCAAAGGTTATCTTTTCTTACGAAAGATAGTCGGTTTCATGATTCTTTTTTGTCATCCCATAACAAAAGTTAATACGTCTGTGTTTGGAGTTCAATGAATGCCATTTACACTATATATTTATTCTCTGCAGGAGCTGATTTATATCAATCGTTATACTGTGGATCACTCATCACCAACTGTTGCTTGTATTCACTGGACTGTACTGTCTGCAAGTCACTATTATTTCAAGGGTGGTTAGTCAAAGCTAGAGGAAGGCCAATTTTGGTTCACTGCTTTCCATAGTTTGCTGTTGTCTGTGTACATCATAGTTTGCTTGTGCAATGCCATCTCAGGCAGTAAATTTGTAGAGTCTGCAATGTATGGAGGGAGATTTTCTGCAAGTCTCGTTGCAAAAGGTGCCCCTACCCTCCCTAGGACAAACGATGAGTTTATTTATATTATATGATGACAAGTCAACTTTGAAAAAAGAAGTATTCATGGAAAGCATTTCTTTGAGGGTTTTTTTTTAAAACTAAATATAATGGAGTTCAATATTCTTACATAATTGATTACAACATCATTTTCATCTTATGGATTTCAGTTGCTGAACAAAATACAGCGACGATATTGAGGTACATCAAAGCTGGAAAGTTATCATATATACTCATAATCAGTAGATTCACTCTGCCAATGGGCATGAACGTTTGTACCATGAATCATTTGCGAGGAATGAATATGGATGCTCGTTTCTTAAGCCAGCAATAGGGTGGAGTGCTTGACTGCTAGTCCCTTGGGCCCTGGCTATTGGTGAGTGAATTGCTATCAAATATGCCTGATTAACTGAATGTTCTCTTTCCGACCACAAAAAAAAATAAAACCTGAATATTTCTTACCTCCATCTTGAAATCTAGCTAGATCATCTTAGGATAGAGCTTGCCGTTGCTAAATTTCACCATCGGATGAGTGTATACAGGTGAGGCGGTGTACGACTCTGGTTGGCAAGGTGGGAAGCAATCAAATCCCTTTTCTACGTGGCGGCTTTTTCGCCAATTAATCTTGATATTTTTCACGATGGAACTTGATTTGGGGTTCCTACACCAATAATTGCCTGCGCCACCCACCTCCCCCCCCCGCCTGCCGGCTACCATAATCAAGTGCACGAGCGACCAAGAGTATTTCATGGCATCGACAAACTTATTCAGATGGTAAAGTTGTAAGCAAAGTTATGAGATGATTTACAGCTCATTGCTACATTGATATGAAGGTGATCGAGTATATTTATTGGCGAATTTTGGTAGTCCGATACCCATGAGGTAAGAACTGGCTCAGAAGATCATTCCAAGTAGCCACGCTGAAGTCAGATTGAAAGCAAGTGCACTTTTGCCTGCAGGGCTGTTGTGATACACCTCGGAAAACTTCCAGTAAAGCGCTGAGTTTGCGTGCAATCTCATTCACATTTGAAAGGATCCAATTGCAAGCGCATTCTCTTTCCAATTTGAAAAGATCAAGCAGCCTCCAAATGCACTTCCCCCATTGAATACCCGAGATCAATTATTATCATGGAAGCAAGAAATCATTATATAGCTATAAGCCCCAATCACAGTATATATCATCCCAAAAAATTCGCCCGTAACAACCAAATAAATCATTTGGAACAATAATTCCTAGTCTTAGCTGGGGCTTCAAGGTCATAGAAGCCTCAGAAAATCCTTTTCTCCTTTTTGTTGCATTAAACTTCATGTTGCCATCGCGCGGGTCTGGGGCCAGTAAAGAATGAGAAAACCTGCCGTTTAATTGTTATCCATCAATTCAGCATCTAATCTTGAGTTCTCCTTCTGGAAAAATTCAAATTCCTGGATAAGCTTAGCCAGCTTTGCAGCATTGTCTTCCTGGATATGAAGTGGGACCTTCTGTTCATAGCCAGATACATTCATGGTCTTCTTAAGTTTCTCTTGCTGCCTGTATAAGTAGACAAGTCACACCAAGTTATTAGATCCAAGCCATGTGATGAAAGCCATGTCTTCAAGGTTCAATAAACTTCTAGAGAACCAAGGGTAATAAAATGTTTCTTAAATGAGAATCTGCCAATAGTTGCTCCAGTTCACAAGAAAAATAAAAATTGACATGCATCACCATAACAATCAATGACATCAGGTGGATAGACGAGGTCAAGGACAAGAGAAACACCATGGGACTTCTCCTAATAATGATACTTACAGAAATAACAGGGGAGCAGGATATACCAGCTCTCATAGGACACAACTAGATTCTATAATACACTTTTTGTCTAACTAATAGGTTCCATTAAGGCACAAAGGAACATGCGCATTAGTTCCGATAAGCTATTGGTAGACAATGTGATGTATGCTAATACTTCTGAGCCGCTAAAAGTAACTTTTCAAGCAAGTGCTGTTTAGATTCAAGCATGCACATGCGCACACTACACACATTCAAACGCGCACACAGAGAGAGATATGGACGCCTCTATTTTAGGTGGACTCACTTCTGAATCTCTTCCATCTTATTCTTGATCTTTTCACGTTCTGCCTCCGCATTGAGATTTCCTTGAACCTTAAGATACACTTTGAGATTTTCATTAACATTCTCAAAAGCACATCTTGCTGGAGCAACATCTCTATCACTCAGCAAAACCTGCAAATTAACAGCGAAGTCATCACTTGAACCAACAAGAAGCATTTTACGTATTAACGACTAATATGGAAGCATTTTGACCTAAAAGATTGAGCAGTGAAACCCTGGCAAGTTTGGTATGGAAGGACTAAAAGTATTATCAAGGTACAGATCTTCATCATATTGACCAGATTTTTATCCCCATTGGGCAGCTAAACAAACATTCAAGAACTATAAAGATAAGTGGCAAGTCATCCTTTGGACCCCAAAAAAGAAAGACTGCCAACTTATTTTTTTGACAACAAACTAAGCTTAAGATGAAATGGTGAACCAAATTTAGAAGGTAATGAGCACACACAAGTTGCAATGCAAACACAGCGTACCTCTAATGATGATAAAGTAGCAAGAGTTACAATCTCCAATTCATGGCTTTTAATGATGCCTGCAACTTCCTCATTTTGGCAATATGCATAAGCAGGTAACCTGAGGAAAAAGGTAATCAACAAAGAAAACAATAAAACATACGAATCATTAAGTGCCAACTCAGTTGATCTGATTTTGAGATCTTTTTACCCCACAGACCTGGACTATTATAACATAGGTACCCAAGAAAATACACAAGAGAATTGAGATAGCTAAACGACCCAACAGATTAGATAATCAATTATGGGAAATCTCACTTTTGGATCCTAACTGGGAATTTATCTAAACACTTAATACTGATCAGGAAAGTCCCCAGGTTAACGGCTAGGTATGTGTCCAATTCACCTGATAGATCCTTTTGACTACTTTAGAATTTCCATCACCACATGCTCATCTAAGCACACGTTTGTGGAATAAAGTAGCTTTGATGATGGGATTCCCCAATGTTGCGGTGCATGGTAAGAAAGCACCGCAAACTTCAAGCAGCACCTTTAACAGTTATAAGATACCCAGGAAGGAAGCATGTTATCTTAATTCTCCAGGGGAGAGAAGATGCAGGAAAACAAAACAAAAACCCCAAATCCAAAGCTGGACAAATAAATCAACAAACTTACTGGACCTTTACTATTAGGATTGCCAAGTATGGCATCAGCACTAGCAAATTCTTGATAATATCAGGGAATAGCAAATACGCGCGAAACAAAATGATGAAAAGGTGAACCCATACCTTTCATTTTTGTGCTTTGCAAGCACCTCTGACCTTAGCGACCGAAGAGATTTTACCGTGGACTCAACAAGATCCATCTGAAGCTCCACCCTTTCATTTGTCCAGTACTGCAACAAAAAAGTAAATCACAGTCCACCCATTGAATTTTAAACCAAATCCTTAGATTCACAGATTTATGATAAAATTACAAATGTGGTTAGTCCCAGTTGTAATATATAATGGCATATAAAAGTCATACTGTCACAATCGAACTTTCATTAGATTATCAACCCAGATTTACCTCCACATAGGATGGGTAATCGCATATCATTATTGATTCTTTTCTCTGATTGCCCAGTGATGAAGGCAGCCGCTGCCACAATTCTTCAGTAACAAAAGGCATGAAAGGATGAAGCAGCCGTAACCCAGTTTCCAAGCACAGCCACAAAGCTTCTCGTGAAGAATTCCTTTCAGAGGAAAAGGCTGGGTCCTCACCAACAAAATAAGGCTTGATTGCTTCAATAAAAACATCGCAAAACTGATACTGCCACCATGAGTACACTGCAGTGGCTGCATCTGAAAATTCATACGAATCTAGTGATGATACGGTTTTCGATATAGCCTTGTTCATCACAGATATTATCCATTTGCAGCTAAATGGCATAGTTTCTGGATGTACTTCCATGGGAGGAACATAATCATCTCCAAGTTTGCTCATAGCAAATCGAACGGCATTCCATAATTTGTTGCACCATTGACGATAGCCAACAACTCTTTGGATATCCAGATTTATTTTATCAGACTAGAAAAGGAGATAAGAAAAAATTGTTAACACAGAAATACAACGGAAATTTTACTGAAATTGCAACTTAACAGTTGTAGAATGACACTAAGTCCCGTAGACAGTAAGTACTATATCATGGTCAAATAGGAGGGCAAAAAGCATAAACCTGAGCCGTGTAAGAGACAAGAGCAAATCGGAGAGCATCTGCACCACATTCAGCAATACCATTGGGGAAGTCTTTGACCTGTCCTGCTTTTGCAACAGCCAGTTCATTGGGGTCCAAATTGCCCTCCTCCAATCTCTTATGAAGACCTTCAAGGCTTACGCCATTAATTACTTCGAGTGGATCGATGACATTACCTAAAGACTTCGACATCTTTCGTCCGTGTGCATCACGAATCATAGGATGCAGATAAACCTGCAAAGACAAATCATGGATCAAGCCACATTTGTGGCAGAAAAGAATTCTATGAGCACAGACAAAAACTCTCTTCATTTCCCAAGCTGTGGCAGCTAATAAAAATTTTAATCACATGGCAATCAGACTGAGCGTTGACTCTTGACTGTACCAACTAGAACTATTTAGATGCAGAAAATGGGCATTCAACAATTTAGTCACAAAAGCAAGAGTCACATTGACATTTGACAGAAAAAATCCATCTATGCAACATATCAATATGAAGACAAATTTCTGAGTATATATAGAAATAAAGAAACAAGCTTGTTGCTTTCAAGCATTAATACTATATATTGATATCACTTGCAATCCTTACGCTGTTCAAGTTATTCCAGATCCTTAGGGGAAGTTATTGTGTTACAAATGCTGTTTTAGGCAAGTCTAAACCAAGAACTCAA